CCCAAAGAGTGATTAACACTTGGAATTCACTGCCACAGGAAGTGGTGGGTGCTACAAGCATGGATGGCTTCAAAAGGGAATTAGATAAGCATATGGAGCAGAGGTCCATCAGTGGCTATTAGCCACAAGGTATAGCTAGGGGCTCTGGGGCAAGTGATGCTCTGTCTTCTTGGTGCTTGGGGGGGTCAACAGTGGGAGGGCTTCTAATGTCCTGGCCCCACTGCTGGACCTCCTGATGGCACTGGTATTTCTGGCCACTGTGTGACACAGAGTGTTGGACTGGATGGGCCTTTGGCCTGATCCAACATTGGCGTCTCTTATGTTCTTATGTTCTTATGTAAAGTGAGCCACTCCATTTGTACCACACACAGAGGCTGTGTTTGAAAATGAAAGCAGATTTCTGGGGCTTCTTAGTAGAACAGCTTGGAAACTGACCTGGGGGGAAAGCCAACAGGTACCAAGGAGCATCGGGAAAACGAATCCGCCGAAGACGATGGCATCGGTGTTCCATCCCATCTAAATGGAGATGGGGAAACTTGGCAAGAGCCAAAGGACACGATGGCCATATAAATTGGCCAAAGGATTGTAGGACAAAATGTACATAAAGAACGGAACCCAGTGTAATGGTGTTTATATGCTAATGCTCGGCGGTATCTAGGCCAAGACCGGGGGCACTGGAATGCTTGGGGCTGACGGGAATGTAGGTGCAGCATGAGTCTCAAGAAATAAACCAAGCGGAGATCTCCAGCAGTCTGTGAAAGGTAAGTTACATCCGCACACAGCCTCAATTTGCATGGAGGTCATGCAGGAGGAGGAGAGATGGTCTAACCCTTCCACCCTTGCTCGGTTTCCCTATCAAAACCTGAGCTCCCCACACTGTTTTTAGGGTTTTAAAGGGCAAGGTTGTAACCTGAGTTATCTTTTCTCCTTCGGAAGTTCAGTTACAATTAGCAAAACTGAGAGGGGCCGGAAGGTTTAAACCCCCTGCTTCCCCATTCACCCAATTTGGGTTGGATCCTGCTAGTTTTTTCATTCCACCTCCTCCCGTTCCCTTCCTCACTACAGCTACCTGCCCACATGGCTTTTGTATGTGCAGATCCCACAATCACCTGCATAACCTTTTTGGGTGGGCCGAGGAGACTCCTGCTGCCCCCTGCAGGATGCTCTGGTCATTTCCTTTATCTTTGCATGATAGACCTTGCATATTCCAACACGGAAGAAGAGCCCTGCTGGATCAGACAAGTGCTCTATCCAGCCCAGCATCCTGTCTCACACAGTGGCCAACCAGTTCCTCTGGAGGGCCAACAACAGGGGGAAACGGGTTGGATCCAACCCAGTGGGAAACTGCTTTGATCCAACCCTTTACCTTCTACAGACTGATGGAGAGCCATGATCTTTGGCATGCCAATATTACCCTCAGAAACCTGGAAGAGCAGACTGAATCAGTGAGCTATGGGTAACCCCAGGCTTAATTCTGAGCAGGTTATGGGCCCAGCTACAAAAGATCAGTATGACGAAACCATCTGGGTAGATCAAAGTCATCATTTTTGTAAATGAAAAGCTGCCCCCCAAAATCCATAGCAGAGATGGAAGGTTTAAATCGCCTCTCCTCCTCCTCCTGCGTGGCCTCCATTTAAATTGAGGTTCTATGTATGTAATTTGCCTTCCACAGACAGTTAGAGATCTGTGATTGGTTTGTGCCTTGAGAAAAACTCTACAGGATGGGTCAGAAAGGGGGTCTCTGTTGTTCTGTATCTCAAAGGGGGCATACCTATTCAATAAACTAGAAAATTTAACTAGCATAAACTCTCCTTGGGGGATATTAAGCCCCAACAAGTAATGTCATACTTGGGACATACTGCCACATGACCCCAAACCAGAATTCTGAGGGAGCTCTTGAAATGGAGAAGGAAGCCAGGGTGGCATCACAAGGAAGCCTCTGGGAGAATTTGGTAATCCTCTCATCAGCTGGATATCATATCAGGCTCATACTGAAGAGGCAACATTTCTAGATATATCATAAAACTGTGCCATAGAAGCATCCACAAGTGGGGTCAACCCCAGGTTTAATCCTGAATGGGGTATAGGTCCAGGCTTAGTCATGGGCGGGGTATGGGCCCAGGTACAAAAGGTGGGTGTGGCCAAACCATTTGGGAAGATCACAGTCAACATATATGTAATTGAGAAGCAGCTCCCACCAACCCAGATATGGCCATATTTTATTTCAAAACAAGGGGATTATTTAGAAACCAGAGGAAGTGGTTGGCCACTGTGTGAGACAGGATGCTGGACTAGATGGACCACTGGTCTGATCCAGCAGGGCTCTTCTTAGGTTCTTACGAAGGCCTCAGCCTCTCTGCCCTGTTGTTGGCCCTCCAGAGGAACTGGTTGGCCACTGGGTGAGACAGGAGGCTGGACTAGAGCGACCCTCACTGGTCTGATCCAGCAGGGCTATTTTGTTCTTATCAGGGGAAGGCCTCAGCCTCTATGCCCTGTTGTTGACCCTCCAGAGGAACTGGCTGGCCCCTGAGTGAGACGGGATGCTGGGCTAGATGGACCTTCACTGGTCTGATCCAGCAAGGCTCTTCTGATGTTCTTAATGTGAATGGGGGATGGGAGGGGAACCGGTATGGTACAGCCCAATCTCCTCAGATCTTGGAAGCTAAGCAGGGTTGGTACTTGGAAGGGGAAACGGATAATAAGGCAAATGGGGGAAATGATTCGAGGATCAGACTTCTTAAAAAGAAGAAGAAAGAAGCTAGTCAAAATGGCAGTGGGACCATCTGGCGGGGAAGAACATGGAATTCCCCCCCCCCCAAAAAAAGCGAGGAAGGTTTCTTATGTGACCAGTCCTGTATAAAGGTACTGCAGTCCTGTTGCCTTCAGTTGGAAGAGAAGGCTTTGTGTCTGCTGAGCCTTTCATAAAGAATTCTGCTGCTTTATTCCAACGGCTAATGCCTTGATTATAGTTCAGTACACTGCTAGATGTCTTGAACATAAGAAAAGCAGTCCGTACTTTTAAAAATACAATGCTCCCTCTAAGCCGTGGAGTCTAGTGAGCAAGAATTCTACTTCGGGAGCGACTGGCATCCAAGTTGTGAGCGAGCGATTTGGCCACGGCATAAATCCGTTTGCTCCAATGCTCCCTCTAGGCTGTGGCGTCTTGTGAGCCAAAATTCTACTTTGTGAGCGACTGGCATTAAAAGTTGTGAGCGAGCGATTGGGCTCCTGCATCAGCTAGTTTGCTCTGGAGCCCTCCTTCCTGAGCCGAGACAAAAAACGTGTGAGCCGGAGGCTAAAAAACTGTGAGCTGGCTCACGCTAACTCAGCTTAGAGGGAACACTGCAAACGACTCATCTCCTCAGGGAATTCTGGGTGCTGTAGTTTTGTCAGGAGGAGGCGGGGGGGGAAGGATTCGTACCAGATAATTCACAGCACCCTTTCCAAAGGATTTCCAAGATATCTAGTGAAGGTATGAGAGATAAACAGGGGTCCCGAACCTTTTTTGAGTCTGTGGGCACCTTTGGAATACTGACACAGCATGGTGAATGTGTCCATAAAACGGCTGCCATGAAACAGCTGTGCCAGGAGACAGAGCGAGCCATAAAATGGCCGCCACAACTTACCTTCAGCCATACAGTGAAGATCCTTGTGTGGTGGGGGCCGCTGCCGCCGAAGCAGCGTTTTTTAAAAGATGCGCAGCCAATCAAATCTCCCATGGCCCATCAGAGACCTCATAGGGCAATAGTCCCATCTGGCCCCACCCATTTTGTGGTAATGCTTGGTGGGTGCCCATGGATACCATGTTCGGGACCCCTACTCCAGGGCTATTTTTGGGCAGGAACGCACAGGAACGGAGTTCCGGCTGGCTCCCAAGTTGGCCACGCCCACCAGGAACTCATTAGCATAATAGGCCACACCCAACAGCAGAAACCCATTCGGATTGGCTACAATTAGGGGTGTGTGGCCTAACATGCAAAAAGGCCCTGGGTTTTGACAACAAACAAGGTAAAGAGAATAAGAAGCAAAAGGTGGGTGTGGCTGGATGACCACACTTCTGGTAACATGGGGGTGTGGCCTAATATGCGAATGAGCTGTGTTGTCAGGGGTGTGGCCTAATATGCTAATGAGTTCCTGCTGTTGGGTATGGCCTATTATGCTAATGAGTTCTTGCTGGGCTTTTTCTACAAAAAAGCCCTGCCCTACTCTATATACTAAGGGTGCTCTGAGAGTTTCCCTAATTTTCCAGAGAACCACAATTCTCAGGTATCCCAGAGACAGTCAGTTCTGACAGCTAAGCTGGTTTGATTTGTAATATAGAAGAGGAGGAGGTTGGATTTATACCCCTCCCTTCACTACCGAAAGGTGTCTCAGAGCGGCTCACAAACTCCTTTCCCCTCCCCCTCCCCACAACAGTCACCCAGTGAGGTAGGTGGGGCTGAGAGAGCTCTTTCGAGGACTGCTCTTGAGAGTACAGCTCCGAGAGAACTTGTGACTGACCCAAGGTCATACCAGCAGCTGCATGTGGAGGCGTGGGGAAATCCAACCTAGTTCTCCCAGATTAGAGTCCACGCTCTTAACCACTACACCAAACCGGCTATAGGCTACAAATTTTCACTTCCAGGACCCATAATGGCCGTTTTGCCCAAGTTGTCTTCTCCTGTTTCTCTCCAAACCCAAGAAATTCTCTTCTCACCTTCCCCACCCCCTTAGAGATATTAAGCGAACTTTCCTCTGACGCTGAACAAAGCACGTGTGGGGGAAATGACACAAGAGGGCCAAAGTCGTTTCTCGTTTTGGTTTTCTTTTCTTGAATTATTCTCATTAAAAAAAAAAAACGAATCCAAAAAAAATAATAACAACCCCCAAACAAACAAGCACATAAAAACAAGAATCCCCGAGAAAGGAAAATAAAATGTACAATTTAATTTACTTCCCCTTTCTGAGCGTCGACATCAATAATTAATTAATAATTAAAACATCCAGGAGAAAGGGGGGAAATAAGAAAGCAAGGAGAAAAAAACCAACAAAACAACCACCCTGTTTGGAAAGTTATCTCGTTTGGGAAAAGAAGTCCATAGCGGGAAGGTGGGGGTGGGCGAAGAACGGCTGTGCCCCGATCGTGGCTTTTGCCTCTGAGCTGGTGGTTGGATCCTAGAAACTTGCGTGTGTCTACCTGTGTGGTGGAAAAAAACCATAAAGCACAGCGCGACAAATTAAAAGATAACCCCTTGGCCTCCCCCGCTCCAAATCTCTCTTTTCAGACGAACAGAATCGTTCAGCTTCCGCCCTCTTTTTACATTTCTTTTTTTTTGGGGAGGGTCGGGGGAGAGCAATCAGTTTCCACCAGTGTCCAACTTGTGTAATGTGATCCAATGAATCCTCCTGAAACCTTGACAGGCGAGAGCCGAAGATTCGGAAATTCGGAAGTCTCGGACGTCTTGCTGCTTGCCGGAATGGTCCTCGTTTTGGAAAAGGAGTAGAAGAGAGAAGGGAGCTGGTGGAGGGAGGGGCATTAACATGGAATGCTCTGTCCGTGCTTGGTCCGTCTTGGGGGGGGGGGTCGCTTCCTCTCGTCGTCATGGCAGTGCAACGTGGCTGGAGGGGGTGGAGTGGGGAGGGAGGACACTCGGTGGCACGTTCAGTGGAGGGGGGAAGTGGGAGGAAGGACACGCCGGACCCCCAACGTGCCGCGAGTCTCTTGCCCGTAAACCTGGTAGGGTGTGTTGTCCAGCACACCTGGCCTACCCGGGATTCCTGCAGGAAACAAAGGATGCGGGTAGTCAACAAAGTCCTATGAGGAAAGGCAGAAGGAGCTGGGTATGTTTAGCCTGGAGAGGGGATGACTGAGAGGTGATAGGAATCAGGGGTCATTTCCTACGGGAGTGCACAGGAGCGGAGCTAAACACAATAAGACAACCAGAGAACTGAATTTGGTTGAAAAAGAGTTGTCTCGAAACGAACAACCACTCGAGATGTTCGTATCGCTCACCTTCCGTATTTGACGTCCTGTGTTTTGAAAACATAGAAATTATAAACATCATCAAGCGTCAATTCTGTACTAGTTATTATTGTCTATTCATTGTGATTTGTGAACTTTACAGCAATTTCTCATCATTATTATTGTATTGCTTTGAATTGCTGGTCCCCCTTGTATATATTTGCTCCAGGCCAGTTTGACCAGGGATCCTGGAGGGTTTTGTGGGGTTTTTTTTGCCATCTTCTGGACATGGAGCAGGAGTCACTGGGGTTGTGGGGTGGAGGTATTTGTGAATTCCCTTCATTGTGCAGGGGGTTGGACTAGATGACCCTGGAGGTCCCTTCCAACTCTAGGATTCTATGAAATGCCCTGGCGGCCAGTTCACAATTGGACATGAATGCTGGACAGATCTACAACTGATCAGCTGAAGCCCGTTGGCTTCAACCCGAGGCCAGCTTTCAACTCAACTCATTTCCCAAAACCCTTTGCATAGGTCATTTGAACAAGGAAGAAGGAAGAAGGAGAAGGAGAAGAAGAGGAGATTGGATTTATACCCCACCCTTCACTCGGAGTCTCAGAGCGGCTTACAAACTCCTTTCCCTTCCCCTCCCCACAACAAACACCCTGTGAGGTAGGTGGGGCTGAGATAACTCTTTCAAGAACTGTCCTTGAGAGAACAGCTCTGACAGAACTACGGCTTGCCCCGGGTCATCCAGCAGCTGCAAGTGGAGGAGTGGGGAATCAAACCCGGTTCTCCCAAATTAGAGTCCGTGCACTTCACCACGACACCAAACTGGCTCTCTTTGGACCAACAGCCCGATCTGCTCCTATGATACTTACTTTCCCCTCTGGCATCAGCAGTGAGGTCAGGGTTTACATGTAGTGCCATTGGCCCTCCATTCCCATCGCCATTCCCATTGGTCCTGGAAACCGAGGAGAACAGAATGATAAAGGAATAGTCCAGAGCAAGGTAATCCCAAATTCCCTCCTATGTGGCCCTAGTTCCATTTCATATACATGGGAGGGCAGCTCTTTCTTTCTTTCTTTCTTTCTTTCTTTCTTTCTTTCTTTCTTTCTTTCTTTCTTTCTTTCTTTCAATCTTTTTATTGGTTTTCAGAACAAACAAACAGACAAACAAAAAATACCATCGCTTCTTACAACAAAGAGTTTCGGCGAACAGAAGTAACCGAATGATGTGTTCTCCTATCATATCTATCTCTCTAACCATAATTCAACCTATATTTTTCCTAATTCATGTCTACCATCTACCAACCCCTCCTACTTGCAATACCAGACGTTCTTCTCTTTAATTCAAGATCAACACAGACAGCCTTCTGGTCTTTCACCTATTTACTCAGCATAGATTTCCCAAAATTTTTAAAACAACCTAAGCAGTAATGATAACCAGGGCTATTTTGGGGCAGGAACGCACAGGAACGGAGTTCCGGCTGGCTCCTGAGTTGGCCACGCCCAGGAGGAACTCATTAGCATAATAGGCCACACCCAACAGCAGAAACTCATTCGGATTGGCTACAATTAGGGGTGTGTGGCCTAACATGCAAAGGAGTTCCTGCTACAAAAAAGCCCTGGGTAAACAGAGTAAGAAGCAAAAGGTGGGTGTGGCTGGATGACCACACTTCTGGTAACATGGGGGTGCGGCCTAACGTGCTAATGAGCTGTGCTGTCAGGGGTGTGGCCTAATATGCTAATGAGTTTCTGCTGTTGGGTGTGGCCTATTATGCTAATGAGTTCCTGCTGGGCTTTTTCTACAAAAAGAGCCCTGAGTAACCTACTTTCCCCAGTCAAATTCAGTAACTATCTGTACATTTTACATACTATATAGTCTTATCAAAATAAAAACTCAATTTTCATACTCTGTTCTACACCTCAATATTTACTGCTATTATTTTAGTCCTACTATTATTCCATAACTTTACATCTCTTTTAGATTCATTAGGAAACAAAATTATAAACACACTGACACATTCTCTTTTCCATTGTCTGTATGTTTTTACTTTTAACTTCTTACATTAAGGTAACTAAGTAGTCCCTAAATAGTCCGTTTAATTTACAGAACATACAGAATTTTGCTAACTATGTTCTGACAGCTGATTGACACATGTTGGAACATTCAGAATTGGGGGGGGGGGCGCTACTGCATCGAAGCCACAATTTCTGCCACGTCAACGAACCCCAAATGAATATTTGCACTGATTCAAGAGATGCTAAATTTCCGATCTCACCCCTAGGACGCAGCCATTTGGAGTTAAAAATTCAGCGTTTGCCTTTCAGGAGGTTTTAACAAAAATTAACCTCAGTATCTCGGAATGAGGATTTGCGGGAAGGAATGGAAAGGATACTTTTGTGGAGGCCCGTTCATTTCCGCCCCACCCCATATTTATTTAAATAATTTCTACCCTCCTGTCTCTCATTCCCAGAGGCACTTGTGGTGGATGACAGATAATTTTAAAAAATTATTTTTCAAAACTATACAAACTATAATTGTGTATTTAAAAGTCACATCTAAAAATAACCCCCCCAAATCTGGGTAAACAAAGATGCCTTTAACTGGTGCGAGTGTCTTTTGAAAGAGTTTCTGAGCGTCAGCTCATCAATATATTTAATATTTATTTAAAATATTTGCATGCCCGCCTTTCTTTTTGAGCCTCTCGGGGCCTGTCAAGTGATAATACATGCATGTGTGAACTAACCATACTGTGGTCTGTTCATGGCTGAGGTGAGTTTAGAACCAGGAACGTCCCAGTACCCAGCTCTTGATTTTAAACTACTGTTATCGAGTACAATGCCCCCTAAAAGAAAGATAACAATGCTTTTAGAATTCTGTGTACTTCACATACACTATCTGGTCCCGCTGGTAGACCTCCTGATGGCCCCTGGGTTTTGGCCACTGTGTGACCCAGAGTGTTGGACTGGATGGGCCACTGGCCTGATCCAACATGGCTCCTCTTAGGTTCTTATGTCTGGGGCAGTGATGCTCTGTCTTCGTGGTGCTTGGGGGCAACAGTGGGAGGGCTTCTAGAGTTCTGGCCCCGCTGGTGGACCTCCTGATGGCCCCTGGTATTTTTGGCCACTGTGTGACACAGAGTGTTGGACTGGATGGGCCATTGGCCTGATCCAACATGGCTTCGCTTCTGTTCTTAATCACTTTCTACAGCATACTCTCAGTTGACAGGACCCCAGACTGGCTAGGCATCATGGTTGGCATGACCAAGAGCCACATCCTTAGAGTGCCTCTACAACTGGCACTACCAGGGTGGCACAGCAATAGAAGACAAGCTGTCTCTTGAAGGGACGTTCATCGCCCCTCACTGATCAGAACCTCACCCCGCAGCAGCTTCCAAGAAACCTCAAAAGATACAGAACTAGAAGAACTAAATGGGTCCCAAGGGAGAAGACATCTTCTCAGGAAAGTGGACTTCTGCAACGTCACCCCAACACTGTCCCACCGTGGGCCTTCACCCCCTGCTTCCTTGACCGTGGCCCCGATTTACCTGGGGGACGGATCGTCATGTGCTGCTGTCCGTCCATAACGTAGCCTCCCATTGGCTGCCCGTCAGGACTATATGGCGCTCCCTGACCTACTTGGATGGAAACGAAGCAGAGCGAAGCATGAAGGAAGAGACACAAGGAGCGCGACCCCACAATTCCCTCCCCCACCGATCCCCAGATCACCCTTTCCAGGGTCCGACCCCTGCTTCCCATACCTGTGCGATTTGATTGGTCAATCATGGGCTGAACTATACGCCTCCTGGCATTAATAAACCTACGAGAGACAGGATGAGAGATGGCGAGTCAGACGGAGAGGCCGGAGTGGGGTCTGTTTCTTGGAAACGTTTACACGATGCCACCCCTGCAGAAAATATCCTCCAGGCAGCTTATGAGTTATTTTTGAACAAAATCACTAAAACCACACCAGATTAAAAACCAGCAACATAAAACGCACGAAAAACATTCCGACTGTTCTAGATTGTAGCGGCTCTCAGAAATTCCACCTGCTTCCCCCCCCCCCCCCCCAACAAAAAACCCCCGTCTCCCGGATCGGATCAAAGTTCCACTGTCCCATTCTTGAAAGCAGTCTGCCAGATATTTCTGGATACTCCCTAGCATAGGGAGCTGCGGTGGCTCAAGTGGTTAAGACGCTGAACTGCAGGCTGTGGAAGGTCAGTAGTTCAGCAGTTCGAGACCCAGGTGTGCCACATGACGGAGTGAGCTCCCGTCTCTAGTTCCAGCTCCTGCCAACCTAGCAGTTCGAAAGCAAGAAATTGCAAGTAGATAAATAGGTACCAGTTCGGTGGGAAGGTAACAGTGTTCCGTGCGCCATGGTGTTTAGTCATGCCGGCCACATGACCACGGAAACGTCTTCGGACAGTGCTGGCTCTTTGGCTTTGAAACGGAGATGAGCACTGCAACCCTAGAGTCGGACTCGGCTGGCTTTCGAGCAAGGGAACCTTTACCTTTTTACCTAAATAGGTACCACTTCGGTGGGAAGGTAACAGTGTTCCGTGCGCCATGGTGTTTAGTCATGCCGGCCACATGACCACGGAAACGTCTTCGGACAGTGCTGGCTCTTTGGCTTTGAAACGGAGATGAGCACCGCAACCCTAGAGTCGGATTCGGCTGGCTTTCAAGCAAGGGAACCTTTACCTTTACCTTTTTACCCTAGCATAGAGGGGATGCCCACACCCAGCATCTGATTCCCAGAGGTATACTGCCCTTGCACGTGGAAGTTCTATTTCGCTATATAAAGTCCGCAGGATTTAGCTTTTCTAAGAACAGGATCTAAATTGCCTTGAGACTGAGTGTTTTTTTAAAAAACAGAATTTTGTTAAAAAAATGTATGCTTTGTTGTTAGAATACAGGATGCAAGATGAAGTAGTGAAAGATGTAATGATTCAATGGACAAAAAAATTGGGGCATAATATAGACTTAGATCAATGGTCACAGATTTGGAAGAAAAATATAAAAATTACTAAAGCCATCTCTTATAAAGAGAATATATATAAGACGTTCTATAGATGGTATATTACCCCGGAGAAACTTGCTAAATTTGATTCAAATTGTTCAAATCAATGTTGGAAATGTCAAAATAAGGTGGGATCTTTTTACCATATGTGGTGGTTTTGTGACAAAGCCAAAAAATATTGGTCCTGGATACACGAAATATTGCAGAAAATGTTAAAATGTTCTATACCCTTTGTACCGGAAATATTCTTGTTAAATATTTTACCTGAAAGCTGTAAAAAAATGATTCTCATTTGATTTTGTATGTAGTTACTTCTGCTAGAATTTTATATGCAAAATATTGGAGAAGAGTGGGAACCCCTATTATAAACAAAATGCTGGAAACAGTGGAAATGGATAAATTGACTATATTATTGAAAGAATACCCAGAAAAAAACTTTTGAGAATACATGGACAAGGTTCTACACTTGGTTGGAAAATTATAATAATTTAAAGTTATAGTCAAACAATACATCGGTGAGGATACAGAGAAGAGTTTTGTTATACTGGCAATGAATGATTTTTTTTTTTTTTAGATGAACATTTGACCAACATGGTTTAGTTCTTAGGCATAAGCATTATAATTATTTGAAGTTTCCCCCCTGAATATGTATGTATGTCTATGTGCCTAGAGACAGTGTTTTGACGTTTTCCGCATCTAAGATTCAGTTACAAAATCTCAGCTGCGGAATGGAAAAATTTCCAAGCAGGCTGAGTCTGAGCGCCAGACTGTGGAAACAGGGCCCATCCTGCTCAGACTCGTAGGTCGTAGAGCATCTGTGCTAGAACTGACCAATCGTCCATCTTCCACAGTGACCCATTTCCAACAATGACCAGCTAGCTGTTTCAAGGTATCCCATGAGCAGGGCACAAAGGAAACATTCTTTCCCCTGTCATCTGTTTCCAACTACGGACATCCCAAGGTAGACTTCCTCTGCGTATGGAGGTTCTGTTTTGCTTGTAAGGCTAGTAAGGCTTGTAAGGCTTTGTCTTCCTCCGTGAACTAACCCTTTTTAAAAGCCTACTTGTGGAGGAGGAGGAGGAGGAGGAGGAGGAGAGGAGAGGAGATTGGATTTATACCCCGCCCTTCACTCGGAGTCTCAGAGTGGCTTACAATCTCCTTTCCCTTCCCTGCCCCACAACAGACACCCTGTGAGGCAGGTGGGGCTGAAAGATCTCTTTCTAGAACTGCCCTTTCAAGGACAGCTCTCGTCAGAACTACGGCTTGCCCAAGGTCATCCAGCAGCTGCAAGTGGAGGAGCGGGGAATCAAACCCGATTCTCCCACTTTAGAGTCCGCACACTTAACCACCACACCAAACTGGCTCGTGGTCATCTATACCTTCCTGGGGCAGTTCATTTCATCCATCCATCGTGGGGTCACGTGAAACAGAACTTTCTATTGTATGTTCTGTTCCGGCTCCCAAGTTCTGTATCATATGATATTGTGGTGGAGGGCAGGAGAAACTGCTCTACATCCAATTCTCTCTGCCCTGTTTGTGCCTTCCCGCAGAAAGCCTTCGAGCCATTCACAAGGGACATACTAACCTTCTGCAGAAAAGCTCGATTCGAGTCCAGTCGCACCTTAGTGACGGACGAGATTTTGAGGGTACGAGCTGTCGACAGCCAGAGATCCCTTCGTCAGGTACAAGGAGGAACGGGGATCCCGGAGTCCTCATATTCAGGTCAGAAGGCAGGGGGGAGTCTGGATGCAGAGCTACAATGCAACGGGCAATCCGCTCGACCAGAGCAGGGGAGAGATTTTCCCGCCCCCAGCATTTCTTCCCTGCTCGGATCGAGCGAGTGACATTCCACATTGCACCTTTGCATCCCAGCGCCTTTCTTTGCAGCACAAACGGCCCCGCTTTGGAATGGGATATAAGGCCTCAGGGATCTTCATTCCTACTCATATCCGATGAAGTGAGTTTAGACTCTCGACAGCCCATAACACCGGAAGCCTTGTGGGCCTCTAAAATGGGGCTCTTCCGCCATGCTTTTGGTTGAGGGGGTGGATGTTCAACTATTCAGGCCTCTTCTGTTCGTGGTCCCTTCCTAGTACTCCTGCTGCTTTAGACAATTTGTTGGGTGTTACAAGTTAAAGCACTTTCAGTATTTACTGGGTTAATGATGTTTGTTAAGTCACATGTTTGTTTGTAACCAATCTGTTTAGATTATAGGAAGCCTGGGAACTTTGGAGCTACTTTGCTACTCTGATTGGAAACCAAGGTGCCAAGTATTAGCATTTTATGGCTTTTCTTCCGTCTTTGTGTTTCTTTGTTCTGACCGAGAAGAAGACGCCATTCCATTCCAGTTTTACCTTTCAGCTGTAAGGATGAAGACCATTTCGCTCTTTGTTATTTTATATCCTGTGTACCTTTTTCCCAAGCTAGGTTATAGTAAACTTTTATATTCTTTTAAACACACCGTGGACTCAGTCTCTTTAATACTCTGCTGACAAACTTTAAATAAGAATCCGAAGAAGAAGAAGAAGAAGAAGAAGAAGAAGAAGAAGAAGAAGAAGAAGAAGAAGAAGAAGAAGAAGAAGAAGAAGAAGAAGAAGAAGACCTTCCCCTCCCCACAACAGACACCCTGTGAGGTGGGTGGGGCTGAGAGAGCTCTTGACAGAAACTGCTCTTTTTCAAGGACAGCTCATATCAGAACTACGGCTTGCCCAAGGTCGTCCAGCCAGGTGCAAGTGGAGGAGTGGGGAATCAAACCCGGTTCTCCCAGATTAGAGTCCGCGCACTTCACCACGACACCAAACACAATTCTATTTGGGCCCTGGAGCTTCCTGGGGTACCTATATCCATATGACACGAGGCACGGGGTTTTCCTGTTATTGTAAAGGGCCATTGTGGCTTAGAGGTTAAGATGCGGAGCTGCAGGCCGGAAGGTCTGTCGCTCGGCCGCTCGAGACCCTGGTGCCGCTCCCGTCTCTCGCCCCAGCTCCTGCCAACCTAGCAGTTCGAAAGCGATCGATCTAATTTATGACAGCAAGAGCCAGTAAAACAGTACGATTCGGATACGAGAAGGATTAAGACAGGAATCACATGGGAATAGTATAAAAACATTAACAAGAGACGTGAATAAAGTTAGTAAAATAAAATAATTTTAATAAGGGAATCCTACAGTTTTCTCAGCTAAAATAAGTTTACGTTTCCTAATAGCTAAGCGACAAAATTTTGTCACTGAGCTCTGAACGTCTTCTAGGAGGAATTTACGAAAGACTTCTGGCCTAAAGTCAAGATAAGACTGCAGAGGGCTAAATCTAGACAGAAGGGGTAGTATAAGATGGTCTTGTTCCTCCTGGTAGAATTTGCAGAACAGGGGGACATGCGTAAGTGATTCCACCATATTAGCCCTGCATGGGCATATATTGGAACTCGTGAATTTACCTTGGAGTACAGCGGAAGGGAGTGCCTCAAAACGGGCTCTGGAAAAGGCCCATCTGTAGGGCTCATGGGTAATGCGCAGTTCAAAAGCAAGAAATTGCAAGTAGATAAATAGGTACCGCTTCAAGTGGGAAGGTAGCAGCGTTCCGTGTGCCTCGGCGTCTAGTCATGCCGGCCACATGACCACGGAAGCATCTTCGGACAGCGCTGGCTCTTCGGCTTGGAAACGGAGATGAGCGCCGCATCCCTAGAGTCTGATTCGACCGGCTCTCGAGCAAGGGAAGCCTTTACCTTTATATCATGGCATCTAATGTTTTACTGCTTTTATTGCTTTTATTGTTTTGTGGATCTTATGTTGTAAGCAGTGTTCCCTCTAAGCTGAGTTTGTGTGAGCTAGCTCACAGTTTTTTAGCCTCTGACTCACACATTTTCGTCTTAGCTCAGGAAGGATGGCTCCAGAGCAAACTAATTTGTGTAGGAGCCAAATCGCTCGCTCGCAACTTCAATGCCAGTAGCTCACGAAGTAGGATTTTTGCTCACAAGACTCCACAGCTTAGAGGGAACATTGGTTGTAAGCTGCCCTGGGATGGGGCAGGGTATAAACTAAATAAGGGTGAACGGACTCGAATCTAGCTCTTCTACGGCGGACCAACACTGCTGCCCTTGAAAACCAACCTCCTATAGTACCCCCCTTAGCTTAATTTCCCCCCCCTGAAACTAACAAGGCTCTGCAGTGAAGGCCTCTCACCCATCACGGGGACCGCAGGCTTGGGTCTCCAGCAAGACTTCCTCCTCTCGGTGTCCCCACCGAGATTCTTACCAATTATTCACTTGCAAAATCGTCAGTCCCGTATCCTGAGCCAACTGCTTCTTC